AGGGGAGCGGCAGCGGCAGGGGAGGGGGAGGGGAGCGGCAGCGGGCAAGTGTGTCCGGACCATAACTATTCACGTCAGCAAAGACCTGGTCTGAATCTGGTTCGAAACATGTTGCCGAACCAAAACTGCAATATATGCTAACCCTAACCCTAATAACCCCAACGTGTTACAAGACCATCTGGTTATCCATGTCAGCGACAGCTGGCGAGGGAAAGAGGGGGAGGAGTGTCCGTTTGCTTTTTAATTGGTCTGCTACTGATGTAGTGGAAATACAAATAAAATACTCGAAACGCCGAATGTAAAAGACAACGTAATAAATATTTCGTAATATAATTGCATACACGCCACTTTGCTTTGCCCGCGGCTTGTACATATTAATACAGATATATATAGCAAATATATCCTTTACACACACCACGCGTACTGCATGCAGTTACAAAGCGTTGCAAATCCAATATTAAATTTATATATTATTGTTTTTAACATCACGTTATATACGTTCACGTAACAAATCGTCGGTCGCACCAAAACAACATGGTTCATAATCAACAGGCACCAGTAACAACATGCTGTCACTTAAGACACATTAGAGTAGCAGCAACAAATTGAACAGGTAAGGCTGTTTCTATATATAAACAGTTCTATTTCTATTTCTATACAGTTCCGTTTCTATATATTCGATGTCTATAATCACGAAAATACTACCACAGCAATACCGGAATAAAGGAACCCGTGGTTGAGCCGATTCAAGATATTCCATGCCCTGCAGTTGAAAAAGATAAGGCTAGTGTAAAACTCATATAAAAATGCTGCGAATAAGTGAAGTCACGAACGAAGCAATACCTTTCTGTAGCGATGGAAAACACGTTCGTTCACGAATATTAAACTAAACTAGAAATTCTTGCAATCCCTTCTTGCAATCCCTTCTAGAAATACTCGCTTGCTCGCACCAGTTTCCCCACTATATCATGTGTTTATACACACAATTAGAGATGCGATAGATAGCAAGGCAGCGAGGTACAACCATTATCAATGACACATGAGACAGTAGTTCACCAGCAGCGTCCATAAGACACGTGGAAGTGGACCACCGTAGTATTAAACATGCAGGAGTATCTAGTCCATCATCCATGACAGGACCAGAATGAGCCAGAGGGAATCGAACGCCGGGTTCTTCGATGAGGTACAGTGGGCGGGGTACGTCCAGCGCCCGACTGCCTGACAAAACACCGCCAACATTGCAGCATCTCTTGTGCTGACCTAGCACGGAGCAATAGACGGTGCTTGCTTAGTAGACGAACGTCAGCTATGCTGCTTGCACGTACTCGGTGGTCTGAAATGCGCTCCAACGGGACCTGAAATGCATCAACAGAACAATATGAATGAGGCATCAATGAATTCCGGCAAGGAACACTTGCAAGGACGGTGCAATATGGGCTTGAGACGATAGGTAATTCTAGTTACTTTCTCGTGCTCGCGCTCGCGCTCTCTCTCTCTCTCTCTCTCTCTCTCTCTCTCTCTCTCTCTCGCTCTCGCTCTCGCTCTCGCTCTCTCTCTCTCTCTCTCTCTCCTCTCCTCTCCTCTCTCTCTCTCTCTCTCTCTCTCTCTCGCGCTCTCCTCTGCTCTCTCTCTCTCTCTCTCTCTCTCCTCTCTCTCTCTCTCTTTCTCTCTCTCTCTCTCTCTCCTCTATCTCTTTTCTTTCCCCATTTCTCTCTCTCTCTCTCTCTCTCTCTCTCTCCTCTCTCTATCTCTTTTCTCTCCCCATTTCTCTCTCTCTCTCTCTCTCTCTCTCTCTCCTCTCTCTATCTCTTTTCTCTCCCCATTTCTCTCTCTCTCTCTCTCTCTCTCCCTCCCTCTCACTCCCACCCCTCTCCTCACTCTCCATTACCTATGATGACCGTCTTGCAGTCGAGGCATTGGTTGACCTTGCAGCTCCAGCAGCGAAGATGATTGTTCCTGTCGTCTGCTCTCAAGCACCGCTGCTTGCACCGCATGCACGTCACCAGGCGGCGCCACGCATCAGGGTACTCGTTCAGCTGTATTTGAATCATGATGGCTTCCTGAAAGGAAGTAAAAGAACGCTTGAAAGCAACAGAAGAACACAAGAAGACTTACGTGAGAAATCCTCATGGTGAGTGAAGATAGAAGGGAATCACTACCATCGAGATAACAAGGAAAATCGTTTAAATAAAAGAAGGTTATTATATATTACTAATTATATACTATTAATATTACTGCTATTAGTTATTTTAAAAGACTGTTATTAAGATATAAAACCTATGAAGGCTGTCACACTCAACTGTCCTTACAACAAAACAAGACGAATCCAAATGATTATGCAAGCCACATCTCTCGCACTAGCCTTCTTTCGTTCACTCGCTCTCTACGCTACGTGCACGTCGCACCGTGGCATCGTTAAACCGCGCACTGTACCTGTGGTTGCTGGGGAACCATGGCGACCTCGTCCCAGCAAGCGTCGAACAGGCTGCAGTGTGCGCCAAAGTGTTCGTAGCCGAGGATCGCGCGTCCGCACACGTAACACATTGTCGTGCTGCACACCGAACACACCACCTTGTTACACCTGCGGACGTAAATGAGAAATACCTATAATGAACCGAGAACGTAAAAAGAAACGTAAATGAGAGATACGTATAAACTGAGAAGGTAAGAGAACGCATATGAGAGATACCGATAGGTACCGCACGCCACTAGTTATTCGTACGAGATGGTCGTAGTAAGCAATCACTGGATTCTCGTGTAACGGATGTACGTGTAGTCAGATTTATTCCATGGACTACATACAGCCAGGAACTGTGGTTGGCCGCAAAAAAATAAATACACCAGCAATATTAGCTATATACTGATGTACAACTAAACACTAGGTGCCAAAACCGCATACGTAAGCTTCACGATTTACACAATGTTATGAGTTGAGTAATCATGCGATTAATATTGCAAAATTGCAATAAAGAAGAAGACTTACTGCTGTTTCAGCTTTCAAGTGACCAACAAGAAAACCGAACAGCCGACCGCCAGTTATTACACCATCGCAGAGTTTTGATTGGCAGCCAAAATCGATGACCTGGCAGTGAAATGAGGTTACAGAGAAGCATGTGCGAATTGGAATTACATCGAATTGCGAGATTGGCTTGTTGCGAATGTGATTGCAAATAAAGCTTTTTCATGCACTCACCCGTAACTCTTCTCGATGGGCGCCTTACACTTTGGACAGGGCTTGGCGATTTTACTGAAATTGACGATAAAGTGTAAAGGTAACGAATCAAAGGAACAGTTTATGATTTCTCCCACAACTTTCAAATCTGTTAAATCTAACATTTAAATAACTGTATACGACAATTGAATCTGCTAAACACGATATGTTATCTAATTTTAATCGCTTCAAACTAACCTTTAAATCTTGAACGTAACCCTTAAGTCTGTCAAACACAACCTTTAAATTTGTTGAATCCAATCTTTAAATCTGCTGACCACAACCTAAAAATCTTTTGAATCCAACCCATAAATCTACTGAACCCTGATCACAGCTCCGACAGTTGCAACACACACAGCACGATACCCTCGCGCACGCGATGACAGACACACCTACCCGATCAGCTGCACGCGATGACAGACACACCTACCCGATCAGCTGCACGCGATGACAGACACACCTACCCGATCAGCCCGCACGCGATGACAGACACACCTACCCCGCATCAGCTGCACGCGATGACGAGACACACCTACCGATTCAGCTGCACGCCGATGACAGACACACTACCCGATCAGGCCGCACGGCGATGGACAGACAACACCTACCCGATCAGCTGCACGCGATGACAGGCACACCTACCCGACTCAGCTGCACGCGGGATGAGCAGACAACCTACCGGATCAGCTGCACGCGATGACAGACACACTATCCCGATCAAGCTGCACGCGATGACAGACACACCTACCCGCTATCAGCTGCACACGCGATGACAGACACACGCTTTACCGATCAGCTGCACGCGATGACAGACACACGTACGCCGATCAGCCTGCACCGTGACAGACACACCTTACCCGATCAGCTGCACGCGCGATGACAGACACACCTACCGATCAGCTGCCACGCGATGACAGACGCACAGCCTACCCGAGCAGCTGCGACGCGCGATGACAGACACACCCGCTACGCCGATCAGCTGCCCCACCGATGACATTGAGCAACACAGCTACCCGCATCAGCCTGCACGCGATGACAGACACACCTACCCGCATCAGGCTGCACTTCGATGACAGACACACACTACCCGATCAGCTGCACGCGATGACAGACACACCTACCCAATCAGAGCCCGCACGCGATGACAGACACGACTCGTACCATCAGCTGCACGCGCGATGACAGACACACCTACCCGATCAGCTGCACGCGATGACAGAACACACCACCCGATCCAGCTGCACGCGGATAGACAGACACACCTACCCGATCAGCTGCACGCCGGATGACAGACACACCTACCCGTCAGCCGACACGCGATGACAGACACACCTACGCCGCATCAGCTGCACGCGATGACAGACGAACAGCCTACCCGATCAGCTTGCACGCGATGACAGACACACCTACCCGATCAGTGACGCGATGACAGACACACCTACGCGATCAGCCGCACGCGATGACAGAGACACACCTACCGATCAGCTGCCCACGCGAGATGACAGACCACATCTACCGCATCAGCTGCACGCGATGACAGACACACCTACCCGATCAGCTGGCACGCGATGACCAGACACACCTTACCCGATTCAGCTGCACGCGCGATGCGACAGGACACACTACCGATCAGCTGCACGCGATGACAGCACCAACCTACCGCATCAGCTGCACGCGTGTTACAGACACACCTACCCCGATCAGCGCACGCGCGCATGACAGACACACCTACCCGATCAGCTGCACGCAGATTGACGAGACACACCTACCCGATCAGCTGCACGCGAGGGGGACCAAGACACAGCCTACCGATCAGCTGCACGCGATGACAGACACACCTACCCGATCAGCTGCACGCGATGACAGACACACCTACCCGATCAGCCTGCACGCGATTGGACAGGGACACACCTAGCCCGATCAGCCCGCACGCGATGCAGACACACCATAGCAGCACGATCAGCTTAGCCACGGCACGTGACAGACACATCTACCCGATCAGCGCACGCGGATGACAGACACACCTACCCGATCAGCTGCCCACGCATGACAGACACACGCACCGATCAGGACATACTGCAACCACGCGCGATGACAGAACGACACCTACCGATCACGCTGGCACGCGATGACAGACACAAACCTACCGATCAGGCTGGCACGCGATGACAGACACACCTACCCGCATCGCAGGCGCACGCGCCCGGTGACAGACAACACCTACGCCGATCAGGCTGCCAACGCGATGACTCAGACCACCTACCGCGCATCAGTCTGCCGCGCGATGACAGACACACCTACCCGATCAGCTGCACGCGCGATGACAGACAACAGCCTACCCGAATCAGCCTGCCGCGATGACATGACACACCTACCCGATCAGCTGCACGCTGATGACAGCACACACCTACCGATCAGCCCGCGCGCGCGATGACAGACACACCTACCCGATCAGCTGCACGCGCGATGACAGACACACCTACCCGATCAGCTGCACGCGGAATGACAGACCACACCTACCGATCAGCTGCACGCGATGACAGACACACCTACCGATCAAGCTGCACGCGGATGACAGACACACCTAACCCGAATCAAGGTTGCACGCGATGACCAGACACACCTACCGATCAGCTGCACGCGCGCATGACAGACACACCTACCCGATCAGCTGCACGCGCGGATGACAGACACACCTACCCCGCATTCACGCTTCGGCACGGCCGATGACAGGTCACATCCTACCGATCTAGCTGCCACGCGATGACAGACAAACCTACCGATCAGCTGCCCACGCGATGACGCAGCACACCGTACCCGATCAGTCCTGCACGCCGATGACAGGACCAACCTACCCGATCAGCTGCACGGCGATGACAGACACACTAACGCGCATCGCCTGACCGCGATGACAGACACACCTACCCGATCAGCTGCAGCGCGATGACAAGATCACACCTAGCCCGGCAGCTGCTACGCGATGACAGCAGCACCTACCGATCAGCCTGCACGCGATGACAGACACAGCTAGCCGATCAGCTGCACGCCGATGACCGCACCTACCCGATCAGGCTGCCAGCCCCGGGATGACAGACACACCTACCGCATCAGCCTTTGCACGCGATGGACAGACACACCTACCCGATCAGGCTGCCAACGCGCGATGACAGACACACCTAACCCGATCAGCTGCACGCGCGAATGACAGATCACACCTTACCCGATCAGCTGCACGCGCGATGACAGACACACCTACCCGGCATCAGCTGCACGCGGCATGACAGACACACCCTACGCCGATCGCTGCCACACCGATGACAGACACACCTACCGATCAGCTGCCACACGATGACAGACACACCTACCCGGATCAGCTGCACGCGATGACAGACACACCTACCCGTATCAGCTGCGCACACGATGGACAGACACACCTACCCCGATCAGGCTGCCACACGATGACAGCACACAACCTACCCGTATCAGCCTGGCACGCGATGACAGACACACCTACCCGATCAGCTGCACTGCGAGAACAGACAACACCTACCCGATTCAGGCTGCCACGCGATGACAGACACACCTATGATCAGCCGCGACGCGATGACAGACACACCTACCCGATCAGCCTGCGCGATGACGGACACACCTTACCGATCAGGCTGCACGCGATGTTACAGACCACACGCTACTGCCGCCATCAGGCTGCACGGTGATGAAGACACACCTACCCGATCAGGCTGCCACGCGATGACAGACACACCTCCTACCGATTCAGCGCACGCGATGACAGACACACCTACCGATTCAGCTTGCACGCGCGATGACAGACACACCTACCCGATCAGCCCTGCCACGCTGCGATGACAGACACACCTACGCGATTCAGCCGCACGCCGATTGACAGACAGCACCTACCCGATCAGCTGCACGCGATGACAGACACACCTACCCGATCAGCTGCACGCGATGACAGACACACCTACCCGATCAGCTGCACGCGATGACAGACACACCTACCCGATCAGCTGCACGCGATGACAGACGCACACTACCCGAATCAGCTGGCACGCGAGACAGACACCACCTACCCGATCAGCCGCACGCGGATGACAGACACACCTACCGATCAAAGCTGGGCACGCGATGACAGACACAACCTGACGCCGATCAGGCTTGCACGCGATGACAGACACACCTACCATCAGCTGCACGCGCTGACAGACACACTACCCGGATCAGCTGCACGCGATGACAGCACAACCTACCGAATCAAGCGCACGCGGATGACAGACACATACTACCCGATGCAGCTGCACAGCGCCGATGGACAGAGACACACCTACCACGATCAGCTGCACGCGATGACAGACACACCTACCCGATCCAGCTGCACGCGATGGACAGACACACTACCCGATCAGCTGCACCGCGATGACAGACACACCTACCGATCAGCTGCACGCGATGACAGACACCCTACCCGATCAGCTGGCACGCGCAATGACAGACACAACCTACCGCATCAGCTGGCAGCGCGATGCAGACACGACTACCCGAATCAGCCTGCACGCGATTGACAGACACACATACCCGATCAGCACTGCAGCGCGATGACAGACACACCTACCCGATCAGCTGCTTACGACGTGAAAGACACACTGAAGCGGTTCAGCTGCACGCGATGGACAGACGACAGCCTACCCGATCAGCTGGCACGCGGATGACAGCGACACACTACTCCGATCAGTCCGCACGCGACTGACAGAAACACCTACGCGATCAGCTGCCCACGCGATGACAGACACACCTACCGCATCGAGCTGCACGCGAATGACAGACACACCTACCCGATCAGCCTGCACGCGATGACAGGACACACCTACCACGATCAGCTAGCCACGCGATGACAGACACACCTACCGATCAGCTTGCAGCGCGATGACAGACACACCCTTTTACGCGATCAGCTGCACTGCGATGACAAAACACCTACCCGATCAAGCTGCCACGCCGATGACAGACACACCTACCCGCATCAGCTGCACGCGAATGACAGACACACCTACCGTCAGTGCCGACGCGACGAGACAGACACACCGTACCGATAAGATCTGCACGCTGATGACAGACACCACCTACCGATCAGGGCCGCACGCGATGACAGACACAGGCCTACCGATCCAGCTCTGGCGCGGATGACAGACACACCTACCGATCAGCTGCACGCGCGATGACAGACACACGCTACACCGCATCAGCTGCACGAATGACAGACACACCTACCCGATCAGCTGCACGCGATGACAGACACATCACTCGATCGCTGCACGCGCGATGACAGACACACCTACCGATCAGCTGCCACGCAATGACAACAACCTACCCGATCAGCGCACGCGATGACAGACACACGCTACCCGATCAGCCTGCACGCGGATGACAGACACCACCTAACCCAGATCAGCTGCACGGCGCGATGACAGACACACCTACGCCGCATCAGCTGGCACGCGCGATGACAGACACACCCTACCGAGTCAGCTGCACGCGATGACAGACACACCTACCCGATCAGCTGCACGCGAGACAGACACACCTACCCGATCAGCTGCACGCGATGACAGACACACCTTACGCCGCCATCAGCTGCCCACGCAGATGACAGACACACCTACCGATCTAGCCGCACGCGCGATGACAGACACACCTACCGGATCAGCCTGCACGCCGATGACAGACACACCTGACCCGATCAAGCCTGCACGCCATGACAGACACACCTACCGATCAGCTGGCTGACGCGCCGATGACAGGACACAACCTACCCCGATCAAGCTGCACGCGCATGACAGACACACCTACCCGATCAGTCTGCACCGCGCGGATGACAGACACACCGACCGATCAGCCGCACGCGGATGACAGACACACCTACCGATCAGCTGCGACGCGCGATGACAGACGACACCTACCCGATCAGCTGCCACGCGATGACAGACACACCTTACCCGATTCAGCTGCCACGCCAGATGACAGACACACCTACCCGCATCAGCGCTGCACGCGATGGACAGACACACCTCGCCGATCAGCTGCACGCGATGACAACATCACCTACCGATCAGCTGCTGCGCGATTGACGAGACACACTACCGATCAGTGCACGCGCGATGACAGACACACACTACCGATCAGAACTTGCACGCGATGACAGACACACCTACGCCGATCAGCGGCACGCGATGACAGACACACCGACCGATCAGCTGCACGCGCCCGATGACAGACACACCTACCCGATCACCTGGACGCGCATGACAGACAGCACGCTACCCGATCAGCTGCACGCGATGACGACACACCTACCCGCATCAGGCTGCACGCGATGAAGGACACACCTACGCGATCAGCCGCACGCTGATGACAGACACACCTACCCGATCAGGCTGCACGCGCCGGCCATGGACAGACACACCTACCGATCAGCCGCACGCGATGACAGACACACCTACCCGATCAGCTGCACGCGCGATGACAGACACACTACCCGATCAGCTGCCACGCGATGACAGACACACCTCCCGATCAGCTGCACGCGGCGATGACGACACACCTACCCGATCAGCTGCACGCCGCGATGACAGACACACCTACCCGCATTCAGCCGCGGTACGCGCGATGACAGACAACACCTACCCGATCAGCTGCGGTCACTGCGCGGATGACAGACACACCTACCGATCAGCTAGCACGCCGATGACAGACACACCTACCCGATCAGCCGCCACGCCGTATGACAGACACACCTACCGATCAGCTGCACGCCGATGACAGACACGACCTACCCGATCAGCCTGCACGCGAGACAGACACAACCTACCCGATCAGGCTGCACTCCCGAGTATACATGAACCCAGGCAGCGAGATAATCACAAACGCTCACACGATGTTAGATTGTGTATAGCCAAGCTCCATTTTAACTATGATGTTATACACATCCGTAATTTGTCTCTGTAAAAGTGTTCCAAGATAGTCCTGTGTGTTATAGCCCCACGAGTATACCATACACACATATATTGTACAAAAATGGATTTGAAACTGAATCAAACGCCAGCAGGAAAGTACCGCTGCAGCCCGTCCAGCCCACACAGGATGCGGCGCTAAGGAGTCGTCCATTTTATTCAAGAATCTTCCCGCCACCGCGGTCTCCCGCCCCCGGGGAGAGGGCCCCGCACGCCCATCTAATCCCCGCCGCCGGCTCAGGACTCCGCCCAATCGAGTGATCCCGGCGGGTGTACCTAACTCGAATTATCCAGCCCCGCTAAAACCCGCTGTGTTTCGGGATGTACGGCCGGGGAGCTGGTCTTGTGAAATTGGAAGTGATTAAGTTGTAATTTTAAGTTACTACATTTTCTCGTTTGTTCACTCAATAATTCTGAATACGCAGATAGATTCGCCATTTCTTGGGTGATGTATGTTGAAGTACTACAATTAATCTTCAAACTTGTGGAAACTTTGAAGTGCGTTATTCGGTAATTATATAAACGTTATAATTTCATATTTGTTTAGGTGATGAAGAAGATTTGAACATTTGTGGTTATATGTAAATGTATTTCAAAAATTAAATGTGCAAGTTCAGTAAAATTGGATTGTTATTTTAGAAAATAAATTATCGATTAGAAATGACGATCTTTTACAATGGAGCTGAAAGGATTTGTACGATCAGCTAATTATTTGAACAGTTGTGAATTAAATTTGCAATGTTAATAAATTGATTTGTATCCTGGGAAGTTATTTTAAATTTTGAATTTAAATTTCTCAAACAGATATAAGTAATTTTTATTTTATTTTTTATAATTAATTGAAATGTTTAAATTGATTTTAAAATAGTGTATTTGAAATGTTTTGAAAATGATTTTTGAAAGGGGATGGCTTTCCATATCATGCATTCTAACTGCTGTGCAGTGCCTTCAAATCTCTGTTACTTATTTCTCAAGAGAAATCCTCCACTGGCCCATAGTCGGCATATTACGCTCATGTAGGTTCGTATAAACCAGGGACACACTGATCCCCACTGCAGTTGTAGTGTCTGATGCTCGGATCCTCTCAAATGGCACCGCGCCTGCGTCTTACGCACATTCAAGTGCTGTGAGACTCCGGCCGTCTGTTCCGTCTTTTCACGGTCGCAGCCACTTCTTCTTTTTAAAACGCAGTATCTACCGCCACGACGAATGCGCCAGCCACCGAGAATGAGAGTCGATAATGGTGGTTATAGGGGTTGTAATGCACGCGTACCAAGTGTCTTGTTGAAGAAGACACAGATTTAGGTCGCATACAAGTTTCTGATGGCTGTCAGTTCACTTGGCTCTTCCGTGTTGTTGTTCGTCGCTGAATGGTGTGTGTGCTCTGGGTGATTCGAGTGTGAACCAAACCGTTCGATTCAACAACCCACGGCATGAATTCGAAAATTATTGGTGCGGCGCCCGTACGCAGCTAGCCGAATATAGCGAACATTCGCGGGTAAACGAGGCATTGGCCAAATTATTGTGGCAGCCATTAAAATTCCCTTGTAAACTTTAAGCGAGATTTTCATATAATCTTCTTCTGCTTTTTACCTTTCGTGTTTCTTCGATGCACTGGTCTGCCCACCATTGTTTATCGTTTAGTTTATCTAGCTGTCTGATCGAATCTGAACGGGGATTCACAAACATTTTCGTTGGCAGAAAATTAAAAACACAAAATAACATTTCGCAGTTTTATAATAATTGTCAAACATAATACACATGAACTTATATTTATTTTCCGTATATTTATATTCTAATATAAGCCCAACACAAATCAAACAGAAAACTGTTGCGGCACCACTTTGTGCACATACACAAATCACGATGACAAAATCGACCACAGCAACCAGTGGCATGCAACGCCGACTCGTGCCCTCGTGACAAGTATTGGTGTGTAAATAGTGTTAGGGTGCTAGCTGATAAAATTTTCCCAATCGTTGTCGTGTGTTGGTTGGGTGCAAATTGTGAATGATAGTGCGTATACAATTATATCAGGGTGAACTTAGATATATTTATACGTATCAGATAACTACTTTTTGATTTAAAGAAATTACAAAAATAAGGTTTTTCAACTATAGAATTTCAGAAATTCGTGACGATAGACACTTTAAAGTTCTCTCTCGTCTGAGCAGAGCTGCCAACGAGTGAACTCGCACAGAACGGAGCAATTCGGCGCCACTAGGGGCGCTGTAATCAGCGGCGGCGCGACAGCGCCAAAGCCCCCTCGCGGCGAACGCCCGCAGGTGAAATCCGTCGGTCCGATTACCTCTTGAAGTCTCGCGAACCAGAAGGACGCTGTTCGGAGTTGATGAGCATACATGTCGACAAATCAATCATAGCCAATAAAGAGTATGGATGTGTGGTGCTGTCTTCCTCGCCCCGCCCGCCCCGCTGCCGCTGCGCGCACAAAACGCACGAGAGCGAGGCCCGGGCTAGGCCCCGATGACACGAGTTAGTAACCTGAGCACGGCGATGCGTGGGCGTGGGGTGTGATTGTGTGCTGTTGTGTAGTGTCGTGTGCGCCCAAATGTGTGTGGTGTGTGTGTGTGTGGCGGCGGTCGGTGTGACCCC